TGTTCTATCTGATTTGTCAATCGATTTGAATAGCATTTCTAGTCAGTAGAATATATAAAAACAGAAGAAATTTCCAACTTTTGAATAATAATCATTATAAGATACAGACAACGACGAGATAACTTCACAAATCCATAAAAGACGTTAAAGACCAAAATATGTCTCATCACCATCAAAAGGGTCCACATAAGAAAGCTCTACCCCATAAACCGCAAGCTTACCCTGGTTCAACGGATATAATGGTTTGTAATGGTTGTCAGCGACCTCATATTGACTCATATTATTATCTATGCGAGGAATGTCAAGACTTTGAATTATGCTACACTTGTGCTAATGAACAAGTTACAACACAATTTCATACAAACGAGCATCGAATGATAGTTTTATCAGATAAACTTATGCCTATAATTAATCCTAATGAGTTACAATTACAACGACAAATAGGTCAAGGCAGTTTTGGTATTGTTTATAAAGCCTATTGGCCATTAAAAAACGAATAGTTGCATGCAGAATAGTTACTGTACCAGTCAATGTTTTTACTACCCGAAAAGAAAAAAGTTTTTTTAAAGAAATCTCTGCATATTCACATTTAACCAGTCCCTATATAGTGCGAACATATGGTTATTCACAAAAATTATTAGCTGGTAATTATAGACAATATACTTTAATAATGGAATATATGAGTAAAGGTAGTTTGACAAAATTACTCGAAAACAAGAATGATAGATTAAATTATAGAAAAAAATTATCTTTAGCGTGTAATATTGTGTCCGGTATGCGTAAAATACACGAATATAAAATAACCCATCGTGATATTCGACCAGATAATATTTTTGTTAATGAAAACTATGTAGCAAAAGTTGGTGATATGGGAGTTGTCAAGAGGACGATGCCGAATGAATTAAATATGACTCACGTCTATGAACCATATATGCCATTAGAATACTATACCGGTTTATACGATACAAAACTTGACATATTTACGTTTGGTCTGACATTGAATGAACTATTCACAGAGGTAATGCACGATAAACATTCCACTAGTAGACAAGTCATTATTACTAAGAGAAGCTCTATATTTTGGGATTTGATTTCGGCATGTATCAATAATAATCCGAAAATAAGACCAACAGCTCTTGAACTTGAAAAGAAATTATATAAGTTTAAAGCTATTTTAACAACATCAATTAATCGAAATCGAGCATATAGTACTTTAACAGATGATCAAAAAAATCAATTATTATTAACAGTTTATCAACAAGCACATCTTTAAATCGCTCAATTTCATACAAAGTACATTTAGTCAGTGAGAGATCAAATCTCTCGTTTCACTCCCTACTCTTAGAATTCATACTGTTTTTGACAATATCAGACATTTCGGATGGTTTTTCAAGCAGTTTTCTAATAGTTTTGAAAGACTCATTATCGTGTAAATTTGAATACAAGAAT